TTCCCACAGAATTTAATGGGAGCAGTCTTAGGACCCTAGTCAGTTTGACAGAGCCTAGTCTATGGGATCTATACATAGGGGTCTTTCCACTGACTTCAATGAGTATTGGTCAAGCCTGTAATACAGAACAGTGAGACACTGATGCCAGGAAATGCACCAAGTGGCAATGGCATGAAGAAATACTTATAATTGGGATTTTACTTGCATTTATTTTCCAGATACTACTGCGATGGGTGCCCATACGGAACCTGGCAAGCTAGAAAAACAGAAATCATATCCTCATGGTTTTCAATAAAATAAATGCCTGAAGATAGAAGCATCATCCCCCACAGCCTTCATCAGTGGCCTTTCTCTACATTTTTTGCTAGTTTATATACAACTTCAAATTCCTATGTGAAAAATGCATCTACAGTAAAATAACATGCATGTTTCCATTCTACAATATGTCTGCATTTTGTGTATAAAGCTACAGGGCTTAAATCACCACAGTAAGTTTTTTGTTTGTTTGTTTTTTAAACAAAGATATTGTGCTGCCTCATGGGAAAGTCATGCACATTCACCATTACAGAGGCAACAAACTTAATCCATAAATGTATCTAGAACAAATGGCAGCAAATTGTGGACAAATGTTTTGCTTTCACTGGTGCTCATCAGCACAATCCAGCTAATGACATCAAAGCTCCTGCTAACAAAACAAAAAGGGAACAGGTTTCTTGAGGTCTTTTTATTTGTTTTTTAAACTTCTCAGAGATTTCAGCCTGGACAGTATATTTGAAGATGCAATTTGAAATCAGTGCTTCTTGGGAGAACATGTTACATGTTTAAATTACTAATACATAAATTATGAATGACTAGAGGTAAAGCAGCATAGCTCAGAATTCCTATCCTGGGCCAAATGTAGCTGCATAATTTTTACCAAGGCTACCTCCTGGCAACTGGAATCAGATCCAGGCTACCTACAACCACATTAAAGAACAAAAGCCACACGTGTTGCTATAACAGGGTTTTAGCACGGTTTTCCTGACCAGCCAATACGGATATTCTGTCTGAGAACCAAATTAGAATAATGTTACAAAACCTTTCTATGGACTGGCTAGATGGCTAGGCCAAGAATTTCAAACCTTGGTGTCTACAGTTAGTCTCCTAAATTCATATTTAGACACCAACCTGATTTTCAAAAGACTTGAGCAGCTAACAGCTTTCCTGGTCTCATAATCAGGTAGGTGCCTAAATATTATTATTACAATAGCAACTAGACGCCACAACCAAGATTAGGGCCACATTGTGCTAGACACTGTACAAAGACACATTTGGAGACTGTCCTTTGCCCTATTTAGATTGAAGAGATTTAAATTTAAATCGACAAAACAGGGAAACAGGCACAGAGAGATTAAGTGACTTGCCCAGGTCCCACAGCAGGTCAGAGGGAGAACCAAAAACAGAAGCTAGGACTGATGAAACCCAGTGCACTGCCATAGCCACTGGACCAGACTGCTTCCCATAGTTCAGATGCAATCCTCAGGGGAAAAAAATTCACTGTTCACACTGGCCAGGGAAGCCATGTTTAGACCCTACAGCAAACATGGTTGTTCCTAAAATAGACAGGGTTTGTCTCTCCAGCTACATGAACACTTTGTTTATTACATCCCAATCTTTGACTGAAGCAACGGCCAGAATATTAGAAATGGAACTGCGTGCAGAGTAGCCATAAAGGGCCCAAGTCTCCATTGCCCAGAACTTCATGCCGTCACTTATCCCAGTGCAAAGTGAGTGTAAAATGTTATCACACAAAAACGGCAGCATTCTGGACCCACGTCATACTGCTGTGAATGAGAACACAAGGTGCATGGCAATGGTGAATCGTCTCTACAGATGACTTACTCTATTGATGCATTCTCAAAAGTATATTCTTTTGCTGTACTGTAGTAGCAATTTTCCCTCCTTTGTGTAGATGAAATGTAAGGACTACATTATGGGTGCTTCCTCATGGCACAAAGGACATGTACAAAACATACACTAAAAACACTTCCTTCTGTTTTATTGTAAAATACACTCTTTGGAGATTGTAATTGAGGTTATGAAGCAATTGGAAGAAGCCTAGCTTAAAGCAATATGTCTATCTGATATAAATGACAAAATTGGTTTGCTGGGAATAACAAACAAACAAACCTTATGACCTTAGGCTCTATAAAGCAAACAAACCAATGAAACAGCTCCTTATAATAGCCCCGAATGCATGCATAGTATAAAGTGTATAAAGAACAAGAGTACTTGTGGCACCTTAGAGACAAATAATTTATTTGAGCATAAACTTTCATGAGCTACAGCTTTTTTTTTTTCTCTTCCCACTGCATGCATCTGATGAAGTGAGCTGTAGCTTACGAAAGCTTATGCTCCAATAAATTTGTTAGTCTCTAAGGTACCACAAGTACTCCTGTTCTTTTTGTGGATACAGACTAACATGGCTGCTACTCTGAAACCTATAAAATGTATGTAACATTGGAATGTCTGCACCGATAGACTACTACAAAGCTAGGAATGGGTAATGCTAGCTACATTTACTATATACCATTGTTGAGTGCATGCAAATAAATGAAAAACTTCATTCAACTTGGATTAAAAATAATATTTTTACATTCCATTTTTCAAAGTATATCATGTAGTTTACTTTGCCACTGATTATTCATACAATTTCAGTACAGTTTGCTCATTCTTTCCCTCTGCATTTTCCAAGGTTTTTTTTTATTACCTTCAAAACACTGCCCTGAAAAAAAGAAAAAAAACCACACACAGCAGAAAAACATCCAACTTTGTAACAGACTGTTTAGCGGTGCAAAATAGAATTACACAAATAGTCTTTATTATTAGATGGGCCTAGTTAAGACTAATATGAAACCACATTGACTTTTGACCCATTATACCAGCTGAGTATCTATCCCTTTGTGTTGTGACTGGTGATCCACTTTCTTTTTCCTTTACATTGTATTGATGTCATAAATAAAGAGGACAAGTATAACCAGGCTAGCATCATTATGACAATGAAGAACAGTAAATGGATTCCCATGATCATCTATAAAACATACTAATATTTAGAGTTATTTTTATAACAAACGAATAGAAGATATATCCCTCGCAGCTGAACTCTGGGTGCTTAAAGCATTACTATCTGATAAATGACCTAGCTGTCCTCCATGGAACAGAATTTTAAGTCCCATGCACCCATTCAAACAGTATGAATTCTGGGCCTCTAAAGATACTATTATGCCACAAGTCAAGACTTTTGCGCCTTTATAAAAGATTAGTTAAGTAGATTAGAAGTGACTGGGAAAACATCCCTGCAATGTGAAAAATGAACATAAAAGAGATCCTAATAACTAGGTTTCTTTATGGAACTGGGTAGCACAATATGTATCAGACAGATGAAAATTCTAATGAAGTGAGGTGACATTAAAAAATTCTACCAGAATGCTGTTGTGAACAGACACTTTACTTTGTAAAATACAATTAACAAACAATAAGCAATGATCATATTTGCACCCTTTGTTTTTAAATTTACTTTCTTTCTAAGTTGTGGAAGTGAATTTATTCCCCAGGAAAGTTGCCAGATTGACAGCACTGAGAACAGATGGATTCCATGTATATACAAACACATAAAACAGCAATCCAGGTTTCTTCCCATTGTTTTGCCTAACCCCTGATCTGGAGGGCCCGTAAGTGTGGGAGGGTAATTCAGTCTCCATTCCATCTTTGGTCTTTATGTTGAGACCACCACCAAGGTTGGCTACTGTGATGTTTTTTGCCCACTGAGAACTAGGCAGAAGCCACTGATGCATTTCACATAGATTACGGAATAATCATTAGTTGATAACAGCTTTCCTTTATTACCAGCCCAAGTCAGTTTGAGCAAACAGTGCAGAAGCAAAACATTACATCCTGTGTAACAGGGCTGCCGCTAACAGAGCAACCCCTCCCAGCTAGAGAGTTCCCTTTGCAGCAGCCTCCTTCTCTTCCCCCTTTTCAGTGCCCCTTACAGATTCCACACAGCCTTTCTTATAAGACCAATCACCCTCCACTTGTGGCTGGTTTAACGCCCAGATTGACCAGTCAAGTCCACCATTGCACTACAAAGGTTCATAATTATCTCTGGTTCTTCTGCCAGCCACAAGGAGCTCTTGCCCTGCAGCGTGCTCTTCAGGGTGAGACAGATGTGAGAGGTGACCCTATGGAGTTTAGCCTTCCTGACCTCCCTCTCTTGCCAGTGTCTCCCCTGTTCTGAGGGACAAGGCAGTCTAGATACTACCCTCCTCCAGAGTGCTCCTCCTGAATGGCTGAAAGAAAGCCCTACCCCACCCTACACTTAGGGTGACCAGACAGCAAATGTGAAATATTGGGACAGGAGGTGGGGTGTAATAGGAGCCTATATAAGAAAAAGTTCCAAAAAATTGGGACATCTGGTCACCCTACCTATACTACACGGCCCCTTAAAGGAATAGTGTCCAGGGTTTTCCCCCTGTATCAAACTCCTGCTTCCCCTCTTCAACTGCCAGGCCATTACCTGGGCCTCTGTTCATTCCAAATCCTTGGAACAGGTCCTTTGTCCCTCCCACCCCCCACAGCTCTTCTCTTAAAGGGCCCATATACCCCGGTACCTCCTGCTACCAACCACCATTCCCAACCTTCTTACATCTCATTCCTTTGAGAATTCTTATGGCTTAGATGATTATTGCTCTGCATTTTCACCTTTGAATAAGACTCTGCTAAATCTGCTGAAGACCGAACACTTTCTTAACGTGCTTCCAAATGCACGATTGAACAAGGGACTTAAAGCACATGCCTAACATTACACATGAAGGGTCCCATTGATTTCATTGGGACCCTTCATGTGCTTAAAATTAGTACATGCTTAAGGACCTCCTAAATTGGTGGTTCGATTACTCTTTTTAGAGAGACATTGAATCATATATTTCTCACAATAAATGAACAAACAAATCTCTACTTACGAAACAGTTGGCAATAGAGGACCTGTAAACTTCTCTTCATGGTATCCTCTGGTCTTGCTTGTCTGCCAGTTTATTCATGATTCTGTCTAGAAAATTAAAAGAATAAAAAAAAAATCAATGATTAATTGCAAGAAGAAATTCCTCCTGCCAAGAGGCAGCTGCATAGGAAAGTAATATAGGTTAGCAAAAGGGAGACTGGTTCCCTAGTCTTTGTTTTACACATTGTATCCAGACTCCCCAAACAGCACATTGGTACAGGCATGGTTGTGGTCAGAAAGGCAGGCACAAAACTGTGATGACAAAGCAAGGGCATAGAACATCAGCACTAAGAAATTATTCTTGTATTGTGCATGGGACTTGATAAACCCTGAGATTCTGCTGTGCTTAGTTAGCCAATTCACCCACTGATTTATTTACTTCAGGACAGAAATAGGTCCAGAATATTTAAAATGTGCATTAAAGATCCAATGGACAATGAAGGATCCTCTAGAGATTTTAGAAAAATATTGGCTATGTGTGTGCTATCTGAGGAATTTTCAAGATGAAAAAATTAATTCCCAGGTATAGGATTTATCTGTGAAAATCCAGCACATAGCAAATTTATGGCCAAGTTACCAATTGTTCAAAAATGCTAGTTTATCATGGAAATGACGGTGGGTCTTTACCAGCATTGACGCAAATGCAATCCTTTAATAGGAGTCTTAAAATGATACAAATATATTTTTGACAAATGTTGGATGGCCCAGTGGCTGCCAACCATGGTGTGTACTCGAAACCAATTCACAAGGAGTTTGGTGATCTTGGTCTAGTCCCAAATCATCATTTGGCCATATCACAAGACTTCCACTCAGCAGGCCCATTTCTGATTGTGGTTTTGGGGAAGGCCCGCCACTGGCATAGCAGAAGTGAATTTCAGATACCTCAGGTAGCCATCTGTTTATATAGTACTCAACACTGTATTTTTGACCCAAAGACTTCAAATGAGGGATACAGGTGGTTGTGCTCAACTGAGAGTACCAAATTGTGCTGCTCAGGTATCACAAAGGGGCCAGAACCAGTGGAGACAAACGGGATGGGATCTGCCTACAGCTGTCCTCTTAAGAAGTCTCCTGGCAAGGGAAGGTTCTCAAAATGATGGTGGAGAAGTATGTTGGAGCACAGATTATACTGAAAATTTTCAGCTGGTCTATAGTCAGCCATTGTAACTTGGATCAGCCCCTAAGGTGCTCTAAATTATGCCAGAGCTGGGGTTGGAGTTGGGTCAGCTAGAGAACCAGGGAGCCATAAAACTGGCTCTATGGTAACTCTGCCTTTCTCCTGAGCTGAGCAGATCTTGGGAAAGTGGAAAAAAATGTGTAGACGCACCATCTTTCCTCCTCTCCAATACAGTGAACACTGCAGTACCGTGTTGAGAAGTTTATGCAGCAACTGATAAAAATGTGTGCCTCGTTGCAAAATGTGTTTTCAATAATCTGCATAGATATTTTTCTCCTAAAAATATGTAATAATGAATCACAATCACATTGTTCTGCTCAAGGTTAAAAATAAATGCATAAATCAGAAGCACAACACAAATGTGGTTCCAAAATGTCACTGTGAATAATAGAGGGACGAGGGGGTTGAGGCAATATTTTTAACTGGACCGACTTCGTTCGGTGAAACAGACAGGCTTTCGAGCTGCACAGAGTTCTTCTTCAGATCTAGTCTCTTTTACTAACAGAAGTTGGTCCAATAAAATATATTACTTCACCCATCTTCTCTCTATAATAGCCTGGGACCAACACAGCTACAACAACACTGCAAACGTTGTGAATAATGTCATACTTGGTACTCAAAGAAAGAATAGCATTCAAAATTCTAACACTGATAGGAGATTATACATGGAACACTGAGGGCATTCTCCTGAATTCTTCTCAATAAAAATAATAATAAAAAAAAAATACAGTCAACACTAAACAGCACTTGATATCTCGTAGCTTTCAGTTCAAACTTTTTCATCATCCAAACTAGTGAAGGCATTTAGCTGTCATTTTTACATGCTCTGGTATAAATCCTTCAGGGCTTCTTTAAGAGATATCTTGAAGACATCAGATATACCAGCCAAGACAATAAATAGCACTTCTCCACTGAATAAATGCCAAAGGAGTTTATGAAAACAGAAGAATCATATTTGACTTGCATGTGGAGGTCTCCTAGGATTGCCACTTTTATTGCCTCTGTTGTGCAACGGAAGAGGGAAGAGGAGTCTTTGTTATGTTATCAAATACAGAAGTTTATATACACAGTGACAATGATCACTCTTGCAGTCTTTCCTTTTTTTTTTCCATTTTTAAAAAAGTAGCCCTTAGTAAAATGAGGAACCTTGAGTAGTTTGTATAGTGCAAATCATTTGTGTTTTCTCCTAAATTAAAGTAACCATCACTGAATTTTTTAAAAATTAAATTGAATTGAGGTTCATGACAATGTTGGTGAAACCCACATATATCATGAAAACCCACTGAGGAGTGACCCATTTTTATTTTGGCCTGAGTAGCAAACAAAAGGAGAGAGGAAGATTTTCTTAGTACAAGCAGGTGCTTTCCTATTTATATCAGAGGGAGCAAGATCAAGGCCTCCTGGCTCTGTTACTGCACTCATTGAAGTGAAAGGCAGAAAATCTGGGCCTGTATGCACAAACCAGACATACGATAGTTCATTACAATATTTTCCAAAACAGAGACAATCACACAATTTTATGTTTAGCATAACTTAAATTAATATCTTAACCAAAATATACACAGCAGAAGATCCTCATTGCACAAACCACTTACGAGATCTCCATTGCTCTGTTTACAGCTTATGTCTAGCAGGATTTAAAAAAAAAAAAAAGACTAAAGCAAAGTGGTATAAATAAAAAGAACACCCTCCCCCACTCACAAAAGCTGCTTAATCACAACCCTGAAATCAGTGTAATGTGACAATTGTTTTGTATTGTGCTTGGCCACAGGGATATAATAATCACATGTTTCTGACTGCCTGCTGGAATTATTTGCATTTCTTTACTATCCCCATTCTATTGCTGTCCATAGTGTTTAAGTGTTTACTGAGTGTAAATTCCATCTTGGTGTGCATAATGAATTATATGCTCTTGTATATTTAGATAAGAAAGAAACCACTCTATTTAAATGGATTAGGATAATTTATGCCTCTCTAAGAGACAGAAACTAGACTTGTGCAAGGTAAAAAATATCAAGCAGGGTTTTAGTTTGAAATCTTTCATCTTTATGTTGCTGGTGAACCTTCTCAGTAATGCTTACATAAAATTCTACACAGTAAACTGAGTGAAGCTCTATGGGCCAAACTCTGCCTTGACTTTACAACCCATTCCATTCGATTAAAGTTGTTGAGGTGAGTCAGGGCAAAATTTGGACACGAGTGGAAAAAACAAACACAGCAGGAGGAGGTCCTAGCATTTTAAAATCATTTGGGTTTTTTGGGGCATGTGTTTGGGAGGGAATACTTCTCTCTCCCACCCCAGAATTGTGTTTTTCAATGCATACAAAACATGGAACAATAGCAAGTCTGAAATGGCAAGGAGATTTTCATCCACAGAAAGACAATCTTTGCATAAGTTTGAAAACAAAAGTCATGTTGATTTTCTAAACAGAGGTACTGATGAATTTGGAAACCGAAACTAGGCTGATTTTCCATATAGACTGACAGATCCTACAACCCTTACTTACACTGAATAGTATTACTCAGTTGAGTAGCCCCATTGACTGTACACACTGGGACCAAAAGAAGTGATTAAAGGCAGTATGGTGTGACAGAGCCAAATGGATTGCCCTACATTTGGGATCAGCACCAGATGCAATGGCTTTGAAAATGTAGCACATTTTGGAAATTGAAATTGTTCTGTCCATCTAGGGAAGTTCAGACTCTTAATCTTTTCAAATTCAAACAGCTATGAGATTTCTGGCTGTGGGGAAAAAAAAAAACAAACAAACAAACCACGACCACCCCAGAACCATATGTTATCCATAGCTTCTGAATTTGTTAGGAACTGCACATAACTAATTTCAACTAGCCAGACTGCTTTGAATATAATGTTTATATAGCTTCAATTCAAAAGTGATTTAAGCAGCACCATGAGGACAGTGGAGTAATCTTTAAAAATCCCTGATATGAAAGTGTAAGTTGGAAAATGAAATGTAGATAGACAAACACACAGAGAAGTTAAGAGAATATTAAGGTTGCAAAGTCAAGTATTCAAAAGTAAAGAAGAGCCAGAATTAAGGTTGCCTGTGCAACCTTAATTTGGCCCCTTTGAGCATATGCATTATGATGCAGTCTTTAATTACACAAGGGCCACGAAACAGGCTGTTGTCATGATTTTCCGAGAGCAGCCTGAGAGAAATGACTAAAGCCTGCTGACCCCAGCCTTGTCTTGGAGATGGGACAGCAACAATCCATAGCCAGCAGTATGATATATTACAGAGATGACCTGCAATAAGTATGGATGTATGTCCAATAATTTATATTTTCCACAGACAAAATGAAGATCATCCATCTGTGCCACCAGTGTAGTCTCCTCCCTCTCCTGACCTGAAGTTTGTTTACCAGAGGTCTAGGATGCTGAGAGCATCCAAATTGAGCTGGAGAAAACCCTTGGCAGGTTTTTCCAATTATTGCACCTAGGAATGGTAGGTTAGATTCTCAATGGTAGCTGGGAGGGCTAAGCTGCATTAAACATTGATTTGTGCATGTAGTTTTGCACACCATTTGTGCACATAAACAATGGAATTTGCATGCACAGGGCCGGTTTCTGATCTTAGGTAGGCCAATGTAAACCCAGAATAACTCCGTGGTCTTGAAGTGAAATTGAAACAGACTGATTTTCATTGTACAAGCCCAGTAAAGTAAAGCAAGTAGTAAACAGAAAAGCATATTTTGTAAAACGATACAAAATAAAACAGATTTTTAAAATTCGTTAATTTAAAATAATTAAGCTATTAGAAATCCAGGTATATTGTCTGGAATTGTGTGTGTGTGTGTGTGTGTGTGTGTGTGTGTGTACATATATATCATAGTATTCATTTTAACCTAC